TATAGATTTTTTTTTCGATTTTTTCATATATTTACGATATGTTCTTCGATTTTTATAATTGCAAATCAAAATTATACAAATAAAACACAAAATTAGGTACCTAATTTATGAAATTGGTGCTAATTAAATGATGGTATTCTTCACTAAGGGTTTTTGGAATGAAATTGGGGGTTTATTATTTTGTGATTAGTATACGAACTTGGGACTAATTTACATCAATTTCATATATTATTTTTATTGATTCTCTATTATATTTTTTCTATAAATTTACTGATTTTATTAAACTAAAATTATTTATAAACACTCATACGTACATACTCTATTATAGTTAGTTGTACTTGACTACCGAGTACTTACTTCCAGCAACTATCCACTAAATATTGTAGGACCTTTCTTTTGAAATAATGGCAGGATCTACATCAACCACAAATTATCAAGATAACCAATTAACCATGTACTTATCAACCTTGTTGTAAATAGGATTCTTCGATTTCAAAATCCAAATCTTCTATTTTTTTCAAATGGGTTTGGTCCATATTCTTAAGACCCCTCAAAAAATTAACCAACTATGGTCTATGGTTCATAAAATCATAAGTTCTAATCACTGCCTCAATTGATGGAATCGGAAAATCTCTCTCCTTTGACCTAGCCTTTAAAGGTCTTGACTTGATCTTTTTGGTAAAAATCTCCAATAAGTCCAAACCGCATCTAATGAGATCTAGGCAACATTTTTTCATATTGGTTAAAAAAAAATTTATATGTGGATGACCGGGTTATCTATTCAAGAGTTACTTATTCAGGGGTTATTCAGTCGGTCAAGGATTACTCAGTCGATCAGGCCGAAGTTATTTGATCAGTGGTTACTCTCACACAGAAAATGCGCTAGACTGAGTAACCTCAAAATAAATAACCCTTAACTGACTGAGTTCCTTTAAATAAGTTATCCTTGAATAAGTAACCTCGACCACACGGTGTGATCTGACACACAGAAAAAGCACCGGTTCATTAATCAGCATAACTCTAGTTTTATTGCCTAATATAATGCATTTTAAGAGACCTTTTTGCTCGTAACTACCACCAATCCCCTTTCTTAATAATAAATTGATAGAGCAACTTATAACTCCCAACTACCACCAACTCTACTAATTTCTTTCATTTTTTTTATAGCTAGTTATCTATTTTATGTTCATAAACCCCCATTCTTTTTTCAATTAGAGAACACCCAATTGTTGGGTTATATGACTTATATCTATCAATCAATTCTCTAAGTTTTCCTCCTGGTAAAAGTTTAGAGTTATTATTTTTTTTTTAATTATTAGGTTTTGCAATCTACCGCTATAATTGATGCATCAAATTTTGTTCTACTTCAAAATTACAATAGATCGAAAGACCACTCCGTAGAAATTAAGCTAACCATAGTTGATTAAAACCTTGTTAGAACATACTCCTTGGTTAAATTCTTTACAAACATAAAAGAAAATTCCACCTAATTATTGTAAGGATACTGCAGAATGAGTGCAAATTGGTAGGTGCAATCAGTCAAAATAACAAATTATGCTTTATGGTTTTAAACTAAATAATTTATATTGTTTTTATACGCCTTATATAATGTTAATTTGTGTGAAAAAAAAAAAAAAAAAACTCATTTTAGCTAAAAGGATAAAAATGACCCCAAAATCTCTAAAAATCTTCTCTAAACACCCCAAATTTTTTAGCCAAAAGCGTGCTAGGGACAAAAATGACTCCAAAACATCTAAAAACCTCTTTCTTCTTCAACAAATGTGAAACACTTACATATGTGGTGATAATTGAAAAGTTTATTCTTCAATGATAACATATTCAGCTCAACCACCAAGTTTTCTTGACAAGGGGATACTTGCAATTTATATTGCGAGTATCAATAGTTTATGTACTTTACTACTTTAATCACTCTTTTGTAGTGCGAGTATCCACAAAACATTATTGGATCTTTCTTTCGAATAAAATGGCCGCATCTGAATTTTCCACAAATTATCAAGATAACCTTGTATTAGTCTCGTTCTTAATAGGATTCCTGGTTTTCTTCACCCAAATCTTCAAATTTTTTCAAATGGGTTTGGTCCATGTTCTTAAGACCCCCCAAAAAATTAACCAAATATGGTTCATGGGCTCTAATCACTGGCTCCACTGATGGAATTGGTAAATCTCTCTCCTTTGACCTAGCCTCCAAAGGTCTTGACTTGATCTTGATTGGTAGAAACCTCCAAAAACTCCAAACTACATCTAACGAGATTTGGGCAAAGTTTAAGACCAAGATTAAGATTATAGTCATTGACTTTGAGAAGATTAGTGGGGAGGAGATTAAGAAGAAGATCAAGAAAGAAATTGAAGGATTAGAAGTTGGGATTTTGGTTAATAATGTTGGATCATTTACTAATGGTGCAAGATTTTATCATGAGGTTGGTTTGGAAGGGATAGGTAGTTTGGTAAATGTGAATATTGGGAGTGTAAATTGGGTTACTAGTGCTGTTCTTCCTGGTATGTTGCAAAGGAGAAAAGGTGCTATTGTTAATATTGGAAGTGGCTCCTCTCTTGTTGTTCCTTCTTACCCTCTTAATTCCATCTATGCTTCTACAAAAGCGTAAGTTCTACTCGTTCTGTTTCATGTTAGTTGCTCCATTTGCTTAATTTTTTTTTTTTTCCCGACTATGGATTAATATTTTTGCTTTATGATTAGATAATATTTTTTTTCTTTCTTCTGGGGGTGTTGAAAATGATTAGATAATAGTTAATGTTCTGTTTTATGTACTTATATTTCTTTGCTAGTTAATAATTTAGATTAATAGATTTAGATGAATTTTATGTGGTGAAATACGTTAATATGGAATATGAATTAGTAATGTGACAATTGAATCTAGACTTATGTACTTGGATTTGCTGCTGAAGTTGTGACACTTGATCCGTCTTACTTAATTGAAGCTTTTTGGATGACAAAGTTCAAGTCTTGGATAATTAATGTTTAGTTAGCATTCAATTTGTTATAAATCCTAACAAAAACTTTGTTCAATAGATTTGTGACCCTAGGAAAAAAAATTGTGGTTGTTTAGGTGCATTTGAACCTTAATTGTGCGGAATTTATCTATTTTTGTCAAACTATGGAAGTAGCAATAATTTAGTTGCAACTCAGTTATTTCAAACTCCAACCTTTGGTGATTGTAAATTGCAGAGAAGTTGGGGAGGAATATTGTGCTATTAAAAAAAATGGCGAAATTCTACAAATGGTTGTTTGTTGATCTATGCATGAAAAATAAGGAATTCTTCCGTCTAAATTTAGTTTTCACATCTCGGTTAAAATCATGTAATCAACGTGATAATTTATTCTGACATCATCAAATTCTCTAAATTACACAGATATGTTGCTATGTTCTCAAGAAGCTTGAGTTTGGAATACAAGCAGTTTGGAATTGATGTTCAGTGCCAGGTAACGCCGTCAATTGATTATGTTGTACAATGTGGATGAGTTCTGTTTTATTGCAATTTTTGAACGGCTTTTTTGGGGACTATTGTTTTTCAGATACCATTGCTTGTAGCAACAAAGATGACATCCATAAAGAGATCGTCCTTTTTTGTCCCTTCACCGGAGCAGTACAGCAAAGCGAGTGTAAGATGGATTGGGTATGACTCCATTTGTGTTCCTTACTGGACTCATGCTTTGCAGTGGTATTTGATCAACGCGGTGCCTGACTCCTTGGTGAATTGGTTGCTTCTTCGATATTTTCTTAACTTGCGTAAGAAAATTCTTCGAAAGGAGAACAAGCTAGCCTAGTTTCCATGTCCCATAATCAGCCTTTGCTTGAGGAATTAAGATTGAGATAGTACAAAGCTCATTAATGTCACGATTATCCTTGGCAGTGCATTACGTTTGTGTTATGTTGGGCCGTTGATTGTTGAGTACATTTTATTAGTCTTTATATGGAGAATATTAAGCGTTTAGTATACAAATATCGGTATTTGACTATTTGTAAGTTATTTCCTGAGAACATCTTCAAAATAGCATGATTCTAGATTTCTAGTCCAAGGAACAAACGTAAAATGAATGATGACAATGATCCAATATGAAACACTTTTGACATCAAAAGTTAATCATGTTATGCTCTACCTTTGTAAAATTGTAATTTAACATTTTGGATGTTAGAATAATGTTGCAATATCGCATCAACAAAAAACATGTTTGATAAGTGGGCCGAGTGGCTTTTAGTCATGGTCTGTCTCATGGATCATCATAATTTTACTTGGACCAAGTTTCTGATTGGGCCTTTATAAATTCATTTCCTTGTAGAATGCCAAGTAGCCCACGTTGCTACTTCAACACCAACTTGCGGATTTGCTGGTTCTCTATCTTTAGGGGTTGGGTTAGACCCCTGCTAAAATTAACTTGACCCCTGCTAAAGTTTTTTTTTTTTTTTTTTTTTTTTTTTTTTTTTTTAGAGAAGGTGGTTTTTGTTCGGGTTGGCAAAATTGAACACAATTGCAACACAAATACAAGTATGGGCAAACCAATTCACGCACCTGCTCGAGTTAGGAACCAATAATTAATTTAGAATTATGAATTCGAAATCTCGGTTCATAGTGATTAGGTCTATTAGGTTATATCATACATATAATCAAATCGTGGTTAAGAGTATGACTAATTAAATGTGCTCGAGTTAGAATTAGTGAGCATAGTCGGTAAGAAAATAAGGATTGAACCGGATCAGTAGAGACCTCTCTATTTGTGTATTTCTATAAACTATTGTTTTGAAATCATAATGTAATTTTGATAATTTGATTTGAAATCAATATTAAAAAGAGCTAGTTGTAATTTAAATCAACAATCTAATACGGAGTATGTGTCATTCGTTGCCAATTTGCCATGCCTACCTCAATGACCTCAACCCATCACTTTTACTTACACTTGTGAACATTCATATCTCATTAATTTAGCTCATCAACTTCCAACGACCACATTGAAACAAAGTACAGTACAACTCTACCATTTGATTAAATGCTGCTCATCCGTCACTCCTCCATATTATACTACTTGTAGCAGCTAACAAACTTCACCCACTTTCTCTCTCCTCTTTATATAAATCTCTCAATCAACCCCTTTCTTCTTCAGATCCTCATTTCAGATCCCACATCATTTTTTTACAGAGCTCCATCAATGGCGGGCTGTTTACTACACCAACTCAAATCCCAACCTTCATGGGTCATCTTCCTCTTTGCCATTGGATCCTTCACTCTTCTAAGAACCCTTTTAGGAGTTCTAATTTGGGTTTATATCAATTTTCTTAGACCCCCAAAAAATTTGAAGAAATATGGTTCTTGGGCAGTTGTTACTGGGCCTACTGATGGAATTGGCAAGGGTTTCGCCTTCCAATTAGCTCGAAAAGGGGTTAATCTAATCTTGGTGGGTCGAAATCCTGACAAACTCAAAGATGTTTGTGATCAAATTAAGAGTAAAAATTCAAATACCCAGATAAAAACTGTGGTGGTTGATTTTTCTGGGGATTTAGATGAAGGTGTTAAGAGGGTTAAAGAAGCAATTGAGGGTTTAGATGTTGGGATTTTGATTAATAATGTTGGGGTTTCTTACCCTTATGCTAGGTATTTTCATGAAGTTGATGAACAATTATTGAATAATTTGATTAAAGTTAATGTTGAAGGAACTAGTAAGATTACACATGCTGTATTGCCTACAATGGTTAAGAAGAGGAAAGGTGCTATTGTTAATATTGGTTCTGGTGCTGCTATTGTTATTCCATCTGATCCTCTTTATTCAGTCTATGCTGCCACTAAAGCGTAAGTTGTGCTCTTTTTTCGTGCTGATAATACTCGATTTGACCGTCAGATCGTCTGATACAAGAATTTGCGACTCGATTTGATGTTGATGTGTTTGTTCTTTTTTTGTGATTTGTTTTTAGGTATATTGATCAGTTTTCGAGGTGCTTGTATGTTGAGTACAAGAATATGGGGATTGATGTGCAGTGTCAGGTACTGTTTCATTCATCTTTGATCAAATTTTATGTTGTTTTTTAGCTAGTTATTATTGATAATTCTATGCATTTTTATGTTAAATCATCATTTGTGAAGTCAGATTCTAATGTAGCTATGTTTTATACTATTGCATTTTATGCAATATATTAGAAACTAGAAACATGAGATTGGTGCTTTTATTGGCTGTCCGTAAGAAACATGAGATTGGTGCTTCATATTACTGATCATAAGATTTTAGTAAAGTATATACCAATGCCGTCACGCGTGGACGTTTTTGTGATCAATTGGATCAATGATTCTTATTTTTTGGTGTATACAACATGTTAGGTAGTGACTTATGCTTAGTCATTTGAATGGATTATGGACAGTAAAGCCAAATTTCTAACCACCCTGGAACTAATTTTGGTATTATATTTTTGCACAAGTAATACATGTGAGACATTAACTTGCATTGCTGCTTTGCCCTTCCATATATCATGGAGAACATTTCAAAACGTGTTGCCTTTTTCTTAGCTGGATCAGTGCAACCTTCAGAATATTATTGACCTACTTTTCTTTTCTTGTAAGATGATCCCTTGTTTTGCTAATTGGCTCGCCTTTACTGCTTATTTTATTTTGAAGAATTCTATTAAGAGATCCTATAGGAAGACGCTTATTTGCTCTCTCCCACTCCTTGTCTTCGTTGAAAATGTGAAAAAGTATAATTATTTTTTTATAAGAGAAAAGGAACTTATTTATTTTTCAGGAATTTTGGATGTGAAAGAATAAAGTCTTGGATGAAAGCTTTAGAAATTGTCCTCTTTTTATATTAGTACCTCACTGTAACTTCTAGAACTTACTTCCTAATTATGTGTGTGTTATATAACATTCTGGTAATCCTGCAACTCGAGTGCTCCCTGCTGTAGCTTCACATTCTACTCAAAGAGAAAGAATAAATGGTCCAGGTCCTTCTGTTCAGCACCACAAAACACACACCATTTGATTCCATTATTTTGTAGCCTTTTTTGATGCTCAACCTACCCCCATAAACACAGCCGCAAGATGACACTTGTGTTGCATTCTGGAAGAAGCAACAATAAATTCTTCTGTAACATTAGTACATCATCTTTCCTGCACTCTATAAGCTGTTCTTATTTTTCAGCCTTTTATCTTTGTTTTCATCCTTAGAAGTTTTCTAGTTTCCTAGCCTGTGCAAGTTTATCATCTTGTTCTGTGTTTGTTAATTTTAATTTCTCCTTGTTAGAGGTGTGATTTAGCTATGGTGTCTTTCCTATATTGTTGTGATCTTTGGTGATGATCACACCTTAAAATGATATAAGAAGCTTATAGTCAAAGTCTTTCCGTTGCTAGCAAAGAAAAGCATTGGATTTTTCATTTTAATTGGTGTGGTCTATGTTTCTTGGACTCGGGTACCCATGTCCGACACGAATACGTGTCCAAGCGTCCGACTCGGCTATTTTGTGAAAAAAATCCATGATTTTGAACTAAAAGTGAAGTGTCCGGGTGTCATACCCATGTCCGAGTGTCGAGGGTCCGACACGGGTACGTGAGGTGAAATGAAGAGTCCGAGTAACATAGGGCGTGGTACAAAGCAGAAATGACATGCAATTTGGATACTTCTGCTAAAAGCACATTAACTTCTATATGCTTTCAGTAACATACTGTATAGTCCATATTACCTTATTTACACTTAGTGGACCCTGGCTTCATAGAGATATCCTCCTGTACTATTGAAATATTGGTCCATCTCTAATGTTCACTAAGCTTTTGAAATGAACTCCTGACACGATTTACCAACCTGCAGGGGAATTTTCTGCTGAGGGCTTGAAATGTGTGTATAGAAAACCTATCATATATAATAGGTTTTGAGTATCAACTAATTAAATTTATATAGACTTGTATCACTGTGAAATTGGTGCAGTTTGCAGGTCACCGAGGCTTTGATGCATCTATTTAATCGCTTCATGTTTACATGTTATAGAGACAAATTGTGTAATTTTGATTCAAATGTCCTAAGTTGCCTCAGCGGCCAATTTTGTTCTGTTCTTGGATGTTTACATTGTGTGATACAAGCCTCATGGGTGCACCTTTTCAAGTTTCAAGCTTTTTTAATTCTCATTTTCTTAACATATTGCAAATGGCTCATGGCTGCAGGTTCCACTCTATGTAGCAACAAAGATGGCTTCGATCAAGAGATCTTCCTTCTTTGTCCCATCAACAGATGGTTATGCAAAGGCTGGTATCCGCCACATAGGCTACGAGCCTCGTTGCACCCCTTACTGGCCACACTCTTTTCTCTGGGGCATAGCATCCTGTGTGCCTGAGATTTTCATTGATGCCTGGCGTCTAAGGTTCTGTCTTGGAATCCGCAAAAGGGGCCAACTCAAGGATTCAAGGAAGAAAGAGTAAAAAAGGAAACATGTTTTCTCTATTCGGACCAAAAGATATTGTCTAGGTTCTTTAGGATGTGTATCAATTTTAAGTGATGTGCCTTAAATCATCCCCAAGAGAAATTTTCTGCTTGATCTTCAGTTTACTCCTCAATCATTAGGAGCTATATTGCATTTCTGTACCAATTTGTTGTTTTTTCAATGGAAAGTAAATTATTTACGGAGTATTTCATGAACAAGGTGTCATCAAGAATTGCTAATTGTAAATTACATGACCTCGTGGAATCTTCAATTGATCATGAGTGAGATAGAATTCTTGTTCTTCAATCTCCACCCTTATTTATGCAGAAATGGCTAGACAATATTTGAAAGAACCTTGTTTCCAAATTTAGGGCCTTTTTGGCTGGGAGGAAAAGAAAAGAAAGGAAAAATATGGTTTCCTATGTTTGGTTCTAAAAATTAATCGGAAATTAAATCTATCAAGCTTAAAATTAGTTTTCCCTTTACTTTCCTTCCTTTACTAATGTGTTGGGAATATAGGAAAATATATTATTGTGATATATTTTCCATATATATCTTATGATATTATATTTAGGATAATAATATATCTTAGTGATATTCTAAGATAGATTTATGGAAGTTTATATGATAGAGTTTATATTGTGTAGGTTATCTTATGTAGGCTATAAATATTAGCCAAGATCATCAATGCAATTAAAACTATTCTCTCATAAATAATTTGTCATGGTATCAAGAGCAGGTTAAATCTTGGGACCGTTCACACAAATACTCCCCCTGCCGGTGGGTTAGAATATTAAACCCACCGGTGGGATTCATAAATTTGCTTCCGCTATGCAATAGTATTGCTCTTTGAAATTTCTATTTTTTTTATTATTTAATCTTTTTTTTTTGGAATAACCATGTGATACGTGATCAATATGAATGGTCATATGTGATTTGGTTAGGTTGTAGTGTTTGAGTGTGCTTCCTCCATTATTGCATCTCCAAGGAGATGAAGAAAAGCCACCTTTGGCGTATTATTTATTATTTAAAAAAAAAAAAAATTGCAAAAGAACACGGACACCAGCAAAGGGCCTGGCAAAGAAGATCACGGACACCAGCAAAGGGCCGTGGCAAAGAAGATTACGGACACCAGCAAAGGGCCGTGGCAAAGAAGACCACGGACACCAGCAAAGGGCCGTGACAAAAGACCACGGACACCAGCAAAGGGCCGTGACAGAAGACCATGGACACCAGCAAAGGGTCGTGGTAGCAAAAGTTCTTTTTTTTTAAATAAAAAAAAAATTGAAGGCGACATCAACAGATTAGTGCAACTCGATCAACTTCAACAAAGTGCGAATTTCCAATCGTAACGTTCGTGTTACTGTCGTTACGATTGCGGGAGGGTGTTGGGAATATAGGAAAATATATTATTGTGATATATTTTCCATATATATCTTATGATATTATATTTAGGATAATAATATATCTTAGTGATATTCTAAGATAGATTTATGGAAGTTTATATGATAGAGTTTATATTGTGTAGGTTATCTTATGTACGCTATAAATATTAGCCAAGATCATCAATACAATTAAAACTATTCTCTCATAAATAATTTGTCATAATGTCATACAAAACAATAATTTCCTCTCTTTTCCCTTCCTTTAATAACATCAAATCAAACATTAGATGATATAGTTTCTTTTCTTTCCCTTATTTTCCTTTCTTATCTCTTCCCTTCCTTTCTTTTCCTTTAATAATATTGAACCAAACAAAGCTTTAGGTTATATGCTTTAACCTAAATCGATCATATGATAATTGATCTAATCATAGTAGGGTCGATAACTTATTTATCGTGAAAAATATTAATTTAGAGAGAAAAAATGTCCTACATCCGTTATTCAATCAGCTCAATTTGCTATTCGATTGCAAGTTTAACACCGCGATGAAGGATTGAAAGAACCCTTTACATGATTATACCTTTACTTTTTCTTTTTAATAATAGTACTCCATGATCCGTAAACTAGAGAAATAGAAACTAGAGAATACTCGTATATGCCTATATTTTTTATAGGAAAAATTGCTCTAAATAATACCACCTTTCACCCGTCCGCTAAAAACAAGTCGACCTTTTGATTTTCTCTAAATAATACCACCTTTAATTGGTATCCGCTTTAAACAAGTAAATTTACCTACAACCTGAATGTCTGGTTAACAATTTTATTTTATTTTTATAAATTCGTTTAACACACTCTAATTATCTCTTAATTAAAACTTTAATTATGATTAACAATTAAAATAAACTTTATTTAAAAAAAAAATAATCCCCCACCATCTCCTTCCTCCCTCCACGATCCCTCACCTGACTCAGCCCCCACCACCCCAGTGCCACCCCCAATAGCTACCCCCTTCTTTGCTAGCCGACCCATCACCACCACCCTCCTATTGCACAACACGCAGCATTGTACTTTCACCCTCAACAATCAATAAAGCCGCACAACTAATAACCACCAAGCCTTGAACACAACCAGCAGCCCCAAATCGACCACCGCACCTAGCAACCACCCATCACCGCACCCTCCTTCCTTGCACAGCAGCACGCCACCAGCTCACCACCAGCAGCCAACAAAGCCACACAAAAATCGCTAAGCCTCGACCACAACTCGTAGCCCTACACCGACCTCCAACCACCACACCTAGCAGGCTAACAACCGCAACAAAAACCATCAAAATTACAACAACCATTTTTCTAGGAATCAATTAAACCATCAAAATGCGGATGAATTTCTGATTCCTCCTATAAATGAAGATATGGCGCCCATTTAATCATCATTGGAAGTTAAATGATTGGGGGAGCAGGGTCGACGCCCGCGCCAGAGGAGAGAGATCTGGGCGCGGCCGGCGTCGGAGGGCGGAGCATACACCGGTGGAGTAGTTGAGTGTTGTGCGGTCTGTCGGTTTGGCGAGGGGAGGGGTCGGAGAGGAGAGGGTTGTGTGGTCTGCGATGATCGGGGTTGAGCGTTGCCGGAATAAAGGGGAAGGGGGCTGGGTTGCATGCGGCGGGAAAGGTAGGGATGAAGGGGGATGGTGGGGCTACGTGGTGATTATAGGGGAGGACTGTTGAATGGGAGGCTGAACAGGGAAGGAGATGTTGAGCATGTCTGAGATCAGGGAAGGGAACACTACTAGAAAAGAGGTCATTTCCGACGGCAAAATTCCGTCGGAAACACCCTAAATTCCGCCGGAAAACACTGTTCCGACGGAAATTCCATCGGAACGGGTTGTCGGAACACCCTTTGTAGGTAAAACGGCCAATTCTGTCGGAACAGTTTTTTCCGACGGAAATTTCGTCAGAACAGTTTTTCCCGACGGAAAATCCGACGGAAATAATTCGCCGGAAGAAGTTTTCCGGTACCGGAAAGTCCGTCGGAAATTTCCGACGGAATTCAAATCCGCCGGAAAATTCCGACGGAAATTCCGTCGGAAACTCCAAAAAAAAAAATTAAAAAAAAAAACCACGCACCACCCCTACCATCCCCAACCACCCTCATCCACCCACCGCCACACCTACCCCACCTTCACACACCACCACCAACCCACATCCAAACCCACTAGCCCACCGTACCCCACCAAATCCCAACCCTTGTCACCAAAACACCACCAACACCCCACCCAAACAAAACCGAAACCACCCCAACACACGTACTTGACCCACCACCCAAAACCACCACCAGCCCCCCTAAACTACACCCACGTACTTGACCCACTAACCCAAACCCAGCCGCACACCCACCCTGACCATCCCTACCCACCACTACACTCACCCAGACCACCCCTACCCACCACCACACCCACGTTCTTCACCGAAACCACCCAAAACCACCACGACACCGAAACCCAAAAAAAATCAAAAAATCCGACCACAACCACCACAATTCGAACTCCAACATCCACCACCACCACCATAATTTTTCAAAATAATAAAACCGAAAACAGTAATATATTTAAAATAAAAAAAATCGAAAAACAACACTTTAAATAAAATTAAAAAATCGAAAAAACAGAAATTTAATTAAAATAAAAAAACCGAAAAAACTTACCTTGATTTGACCAAACAAAACATCGAAATTGGGTTAACAAGGTCAAATTCGACCATGAAAACTCTAGATCTAGAGTTTTCATGGTCGAATTTGAACTGAAAACCTTGATTTCTATGCGTTGGTGTTGTTGCGGAGAGGAGAACGGTGGTGTTGTTGCGGAGAGGATAACGAGAAGAAGGAGATACAAGAGGACGAAGAAGAAACAGGAACAGGTGAGAAGAAGAAGAGGCGAACGAGAAGAAGTAGAGGAGAGAGAAGGAGAACGAAGAGGGCAAGAGAAGGAGAAGAAGAACAGAGAGAAGAGGAAAGAGAAGAAAGAAGGGAGGAGGAGAGAGAATTTGAGGCGGCTAGAGAAAGAGAGAGAAAATGAAATGATGGGGGGATTCCGCCCATTTTTAGGGTTTGTTTTTTTTATATTCATTTATTTCGACGGAATTTTCCGACGAATTTAACTTCCGTCGGAAATATAAGCTTCCGACGGATTTTATTTCCGTTGGAAATTTAATGTTCCGACAGAATATTCCGTAGGAAACTTCCGACAGATTTTATTTCCGTTGGAAATTTACTGTTCCGACGGAATATTCCGTCGGAAAGCTTATATTTTCCGACGGAAGTTAAATCCGTCAAAAAATTCCTACGGAATAAAAAATCCGTCAGAAATTTTGATTTTTCCGACGGAAATAAGAGTCCGTCGGAAGCTGTCCGTCGGAAGCTTCCCGTCGGAAATCAGCCTATTTCTAGTAGTGGAAGTTGGAATGGAGGGGAAGGGAAGGTGGTTTAAGTGGGTGGCTACCATTGAAATGGGTAAGGAGGATGAAAGAAGGTGGGGGAATTTTTTTTTTTTAAAAAAAAAAATAATAATCTTTTAAAAATTTAAAAATATTAAATAAATTTGTTTAAAAAAATTATATTTTCAGACCAATAAAATGATGACACGTGTCCATATAACCTATTAATCAGGTTACAACTTGTTTAAAGCGGAGAACCTCCAAAGGTGGTATTATTTAGAGATAATCAAAAGGTCGACTTGTTTTTAGCGGACGGGTGAAAGGTGGTATTATTTAAAGCATTTTTTCCTTTTTTATAAGGTAAGATAAAGGACCTATCAAACCGACGCCTCTCACATGTTAAACCAGCCTAATTCCACAGGTAAGGGAATCCCCCTACTCTCAACCAATTGTAGTTGGTGGATAGCTCAACTTGTGACTTTAGAGTCCCGAGTC